GTGAGGATTTATCAAAACTGGAGCAGCCAAAATCTGGAGCAGTTGCCTCAGCATCTCTATTCAGTTTGTTCAGTTAAGCTTTGAAAATGAAAGGTGGAATCTGATTGGTTACCATGCACAGCTGCTACAGATTTTGACTGCTCCAGTTTTCATAAATTCCCCTCTATCTATGGTGACAAACTTCCAATTCAATTCTAATACCAAAGCCATGAAAAATATTACTTTTCTATTAAAAGCACTACTTTGAAAGGATTTAGGATGTTAGGAATTAGATTTAGTTAAATATAACCACTGTTTTTATTTATTTTTTACTATATCCTGGTATTCTTACATACAGTAATGTTGTTTGTACTTTTTAAGAGGAAGCACCAGATTTTTTTATATTTACAGTATCTAATTCACTGATTAGAAACATTTCATAGTGATTGGACAGATGATACAAATAATCTATATGTTTATTTTAAATGATTTACAATTAATGTTTTAACTGGTGTTTGTAGATGGCCAGAAATCCAATGCAGAGTGAAGGTTGCTTTGCCATTCTAAAGTCTATCCAAGCAAATTCAGAGTCAGCTGTAGAATCACTGGATTTCTCTGTAAGTATAAACAATAAGTTATAATTAACACTGTTTTGTACTGTAATGTGTCTATCTGATTCATATATCATGCTGGAATGCCTTGTGATCAACACTGTGGATGTGTGATTTTTCAAAGCAGTTGATTCTGGGCCCCCAACGTCTTATGTTTAAACCAACCAATTATTATAGATATCTTTGAATTCATTAGATCATTAGTGAAAAGTGAAAATCAGTTAGTGTTTGGCTAACAGATGGAAGAAGTGCATTGCTTAGGCTGTCTCAAGGGTGTAATCCTGTGTTTCAACAGACTGGGAGACTGTCCTAGAGACTACGCAAACCAGTTGAGCATGGTAGCTGAGACTGGAGAGGTTTTGTTTAGCTAAGACAGCAGAGTTGTGTGGCAAATAGCCAATATGATGGAAAGACTTTGGGTGGGAAGAACCTTTATTATTCTGCTCTACTAACAAATAAAAGTTAGCAGGAAGCTCTAAAAATAAAATGCATTTTGGTGAGTGGACAGAGTCCTTGAAAATGCTCTCCAGCCGATGCTATATATACATAAAATTAAAAAGGTTAAACAGAGGTTCCTGTAGGGACCCTTCCAAGAGTCCCTGGTCTAAATGTATTGCTCAATTAGACTAGTCTGCCTGAGCTCTGTGTTCACTGGGTTTCCCCTAAGTTCAGGATAATTTTTGCCAGGGAGTTGTTTCCGGCAGGTAGAGCAAAAAGAAACAACGTTCCGAGTTATTAATATTTATTCCTCTCTGACCAATCACTAGGATTATTGTCAATGATACATGCTGGGGAGAGGCATAAATATTTGGGGTGACCTTCTGGCAAGGTCTTTGCCTTCAGGGCTTGACCTGGAGAGGATACCAGTGTGAGAGGTGTCTTTGCCTTCTGGTCTCTTGCCAGGAGTGGATGTATTTTGCCTTCCAAGTCTGCTACCTGGGTAGGTCTTTGCAGTAAAGAAGGGTCTGAGCCCTGGGACTAAAGAGGCAAAGGTTAGCCTGTGTGTGGGGGTCTGAAGGATTTTTGCTGTCCTCATTCTGGATTGTTTATTTCAATCATGTTGTATGTATGTACTGTTGCACTTTATTTTTTTTTATATGTTGTAGGATATTGTAGTAAATAAACAGTTTGATGATCTGTACACTGTTGTGAAAACATCTATGCCAAATTTGACAATCAAACTCGGAGGGAATTCTAACATGTTTAAAAAAACCTTCCCAAAGGTGAGCATTTACAAATGTGGCAATTTAATAGAAACTTTTCATATTAATTAAAACAGATATGTTTTGTTTTCTTTATTGAGATCTAAAACTTGCACAAAATTTCCCTTTTACATATGATCCCCTTTCTTTACCTCTTTAGTCATTGTAGTAGCTAGAAAAGCAGCAGAAGGGCTTCTTACATGCAGAACAGTGCTTTGATATTGCACAGCGTGTGTACTTCTTGTATAGTGTCTCAAAATTCCATTCTCCTGTGTTTATCTCAAAATAAATCTTCTGCAAGGTCACACAAAGCAGAATCACCTTGCAACTGAATAGCAGGCCCCATCTGGTGCTACATTGCCAGTAGTCCTTTAACAAAGTGCTCCCCATTGGTCAGTGTTTGAAAACATTACAGTTAGAAATATCATTATAGCTTATTTTAATTATAATATAGATAGATAGATAGATAGATAGATAGATAGATAGATAGATAGATAGATAGATAGATATAGTGGTATTGTGTGGCAATCCCTTGGTAGAACTGGGGTTGTAGTTACCCAGGACTTTCAGCCAGAGGCTGAGTGGTTCCAGGAAACAAATTATTTTGCTGGGAAAGAACTGGCTGTGCAGTTCTCTCCAGGTTTTCTGGATTTGGCATGGGATCCTGGAACTGGGAGATTTCTAAGAGAATTGGGAGGGATGAAATCTCCATTCCTGGGACCGTGGTTTAGTAGGGGCCAGCACCTGGTGAATGCACACCTGTGCACAGCCTTTATGGAAAAGGTGCTGGCTAATGTTCTGGGCTCCAGCTGGGAAGAGGAACAGAGCTGTTCAGGAGTCAGGAGGACTCCACCCAGAAGTCAGAGGGGAGCAAGGTGGCTGTGTGTGCTGGAGGCACACGAGGGCCAAGCCAAGCTTGGTATGTGCCGGAGGCATACGATGAACAGCCTGGGGGGCTGGAAGGTTTGAAGAGGCTGAAAGAGCCAGGCACTCAAGGTGTATGCGTTGAATCAAAAGCTGCTGAAAGCTGCTCAAGGGTACAGAGTATGCCTAAAGAGATTCTGTTGAGGAAAACAGTAAAGTCCTAGGACTGGGACACTGAACAGGATCAACCTGAGAATGGTGAGACTATCTCTTTTCCAAGCATACTGTATGTTATACTGCTGAAGATGGCTATTTTATGTTGAACTTCCTGGGTTCTCTGCCTTTGAAGAAATAAAAGACTATCCTTTCTCTGTTAAAATGGCTCTGTGACTGGTCCTTAAATGAGAACTATGAGGTGAGTGAAAATCACTCATCCTCATAGTTCAAGCCGACGTGTGACAGTAAAACTGTCACACTTCAGCTCAATAGATCGGGAAGTGAGCGAACACATACCGTCGCTCGCTCATTTCTCGATCATGTCCCTGCAGAGAGCAGTGACGGTTAGTCATCGCTCCCCACAGGGATTCCCCCCCTCTCTGTTCCAATCCTCCAGCGCTGACTGGAGAAACGGACGTGGGAGGGGGCGGGTACAGCTGGCTCTGCCTCTAGATAGGCAGAGCCAGCTGTCACTCATGCAGCTGGGTGGATCTCGACAGTATTTGCGGGATCTGTCCCGGCTGCGGCGGTCTCAGTATACCGCGAGCTGTAGCTTGATAATCCAGTATTCCTTTTAAATCTAAGTGCCTGCAATGTGCAGAAGTAGGAAAAACATTCCACGTGTTAGTCTATGTATTGGGCACCCAGGGGTACTATACAAATGAGCAGGAAATATTACATCTGTGCCAACAGACACTGCGGTCTGTGTTTATGTTGATGCAGCACAAAGCAAAGTGACTGGGCTCGCTCAGCAGTTGTGCGTTTCAGCTTAATAGACCTTTACAACACTAAAAGGTAGATTTACAAAAGCTGTTAAACTTTTATTTCCTACAATATCTCCTTTATAGAGATTTACCACAGTGACAGAACAAATCTTGAATCCATTCAGTCCATTCCTAATCCATATTGCATTTACATGCTGACTTTGGATTCTGAATTTTGAAAGCTCTGTATGATGCTGTGCACAGTGGTGCGTAAATAATATACCCAAATCACTTTTAAATTGACCATATTTGTGAAGCTTCCAGTGTTTCATAGAAAATGTATCAAAGAAGGCACCATCGATCAGTGAATGCTTTGCTTTATTCTCAGCTACTTGGCTGAGCTATGTATGCTGTACTCATTGCATGCATGGAGTGCCTTTCACAAAGAGACATGTTTCCCCACATACTAACATAGAAAGGTTAGCACATACAGAAGAGACCAAGGTAATCTTTAAAAGCTTTAGTTAGCTTCAATAATGAGCAGGGGAAAAAATGCACTTTAGATGCAAGTCATTGCGCTCATCACAGAAATCAATCAAGCATTTGTATTGATTTAAACAATTAGAGTAAAAGATAAAAACAAGAATAAGTGTCATTAGTATAGTCAAGTATGAATGAATCCTGCCCCCCAAAAAAACAAGCCAAGTACTCTACTCCTTCAGGAGGGTGCAGTGCTTTTGTTCAAAGGAATGTACTGCACCATGGCAATCTTTGTACAGTTAGAATGTTTATTAAAGGTTCAAGGGTAGCCAACACGTTTCTAGGATCTGCACCCCCTTCATCAGGGCTAATAGTAAAGATATTAGATCTTAACTAATAAAATATACAAATATGTAAATCATATATTCATAAATGTATTTATAATATATATATAATATACACACATATATACATACACACACACAGTATATTTATAGATCAAGACTAAGATAAGCACATAAGAACTAATAATATAGTGAAAAAAACTGTCAAGCCATTTGCTTGGGAATATCTAATAATTGTTCAGATGATCTCTATTAATAAAAAGAAATCTTACCATTTATTCAGGTGTTAAATCAGCACACAGCCATAGTAAATAGTTTGTTACCCACCATCATGCAGCAGAGGCATACTTATGTGATCTATGTGTAAGTAGCTGAGGTCTGATATGCCCCCCTGTGAGGCATTGCTAGAGTGCTCCACTCAGCCAAATGCTAGTTTGTTTGTCTGAACTTACAACTGCCACCTCATGTCAATGGCTACCTCAAGACTAAATACTGAAAGAAGCAGATCAGGGAAAGCAACAGTGTTATCTTCAGCTCTTCTATATGTATTATTGCTTTGCTCTGTAATGTATGATCTGTATTCCCTCCATCAGGTCGATCAAATTCAAAAAGTTAAACAATATGCAATGGAGAACAACCTGAATCTGTCTGAATTATTCAGTAAAACCGATGAGCAGATTCAGATGACTCATGAAGACTTCAAACAGAAGTTAGCAGTAAGTTCTTCTTTATGTGTAGCTTGAACTGATTCATTGGGGAACATTGTTTTGTCTGTCACACTTACAAAAACTAGTACATTTTATAGTATGTTTTATGCTTTTTTCAGCATTACACTGAACAACAAAGTACTTTCAGCCTCTTGACCATTTTGGCCTTCTTAGGCCCACTGTCTGCCTCTGCACAGACAAAAACAACTCAGCCTCCTGGCTATTGATTTGCTTGGGCTGTACAGGGTCTATGCCTATTAGAGCGCTGTCTCAGTGTCCCACTAACTTTTCATCAGATGATGGACACACACACGGCTCCTCGCAATAAGCAAAATGCCTGTCACTGGAAAAAGTACATGAGCTTCTTTTTGGCAGATTACAGCTCATTTTGTCCCCATAGAGTCAAAAGGAAATGCTAGGAAATTGTTTTTACCCATTGACATCAATGTGTCACAATCTGCTCATAAAAACGCATGACTTACTGCGCACGTGTTCCAACACGCAAAAACGTGCAGCAAATTGTGTTTTGATATGCGAAAACATTTATGCCTGTGTGTGTCAGGCCTTAACCACCTCCTGTCCGCCGAACGTTGAAAGACGGCCGAACAGGAGTCTCCTGGATGCGGGTGGGCGTCTCGTGCCTGGTCGCGCGGGCCCCCTGGCGCGCACGAGCGGGAAACCGCCAGGATTTTAAACGGCCAGCGCTGGCCGTTTACATACAAGCGGTCCGGCGTCTGTAAAGACGCCCGATCTCTTGTATGATGCAATTCAGGGTGCGCCCCCTCCTTACCTCTTCTCGCCAATGCTGTCCCCGCCGCCACCGTCCCCGCGATCCCGGGCGTCCATCCATCCCGGGCGATGTGGCTCTGTGCACTCAGAAGGGAAGGCGATCAGTACACAATCTCCCTCCGCTCTCCTCCCGGTCTCTGAATGCAGGAAGTGAATGCAGGAAACTTCCGCATTCCTCTGTCAATCTCCGGTACAGAAACCGGAGAGAAGCTGATGAAGCGCAACTGTGCTTCATAAGCTTCTCTGGGGGTCCCTAGGTGACATTAGGGGTCTTAGAGACCCCTGATGTCTCCATAAAGGGGACCTGTCACTGTAATTTATTCTTAGCACCCTATGTGATAACAATAAAGTTAAAAAAAAGAAATTGCTCACCAAATAAATAAAATTTACACACACAAACAAAAACACACACATTTTTTTAAAAGTCCCCCTCCCCCACATAGATGCGCAAAAATGCGTTAGGTGTACCTACATGATAAAACGACGATTGCTCCAATTATGCCGCACATGCTACATAACGGCGGAGTGAGAGCAATCATTATCGGGCCATTAATCACTGATAACACTAAACTGATGAGCGGTAAAATCTTTTAAAGCGTCGCCTATGGCCCAATTTTAAGGCTTGACATGTTTGGTGTCTATTTACCCGACGTGACCCCGTCTTTTATATTTTACCAAAAATATAGTCAATATTACTTATATAGTAAAAAATAAAAACCCCTGTGGTGATTAAATACCACCAAAAGAAAGCTCCATCTGTCCCCAAAAAATGGTATAACATTAATTTCAGTACAGCGTTGCATGACGGATAAATGTCAGTCAAAGTACCGTATCGATGAATGCTGAAAAATGGCCTGGCCAGGCAGGGGGTGTAAACACCCCGGTCAGCAAGTGGTTAAAAGGAGAACTATGGGGTTAGTGCTTTTCCCCATAGTTCTCCTAAGGGTAACGGGAGGACACTAACTAGCATCCTCCAGTCACCCTAAGCTCAGTATACCGCAAGCTATAGCTCGAGGTATACTGAGACGCCGCAGCCAGAACAGATCCCGGCAATTCTGTTTGGATCCACCCAGCTAGAGGCAGAGCCAGCTGTACCCGCCCCCTCCCCCGTCCGTTCCGCCAGTCAGCGCTGGAGGATCGGACAGGGGAGGGGGGGAATCCCTGCAGGGAGCCGTGAGTGATAGTCACGGCTCTCTGCACGGATAGATCGAGAGGTGAGCGAGCGACGGTATGCGTTCGCTCACTTCCCGATCTACTGAGCCGACCTGTGACAGTTTCATTGTCACAGGTCGGCTCAGATAATGAGGCTGAGTGAAAATCACTCACCTCATAGTTCCCCTTTAAGCTATAAGTAGATTTTAGAATGAGAGGCATTAATGTACTTTGATACTGTTAAAATGCAAAGTGTTGCATTATATAGGTATGTAGGTACCCCTTTTTTTGTTCTAGCCAACTGTATCACATCCTCCTGTTTTAGTATTCAAGCTGAGCAGAAGTACAGCGGCCTTCACATCTCCACAGATATTACATTTATATTTTTCCTACCAGATGTTTTATAAAACTAGTTTCATTTATTTACACTACTCTTTCATGTCAGTCTTCATGTAATTAAACTAATGCTGGAAGGTTAATCGGCCCCTGTATGTATGCATGTGAAATAAGGACCTTCGATTGGATGTGAATGTGCAGTATGTAAAGTGCTGTGTAAATTGTCATCGCTATATAAATACCTGTAATAAATAAATAACCTTCTCTGAGCATTACTGTCAAGTTACAGAAGATGGCAGCAAACATTTGTATCTCTAGTAACCTGTGTTTTTAAATGCTGAGAATTTTATATGTTTAGACTTTAAAAACTGCTGATTATTTTTCATTTTTGTTTTTTAGTTACACAGGAGTGATATATATATATATACACGAGGGTGAGCCAAAAATTATCCGCACTCTGGCTGTAGAATTTACTTTAATCAACTTTTAGAAAAGACAAATACATATGTTTTCGACATAATCTCCTTGCTTTTCAATACACTTTGTCCATCTGTCAACAAGCTTTCATATTCCCTCATTAAGAAATGGTTTCGGCT